GGAACAGTAGTCCCATTTTTGAACTGTGGATATGCTATTACGAAATGAAGAAACTAGAAGTAACTAGAAGTAATATGTTTCTTTATTCGAATCCACAGGATGTGGCAAAGATCTAACTGGAGAAAGCGGTCAGTCCTCATTTGATCCATCTTCTTGCGTTTATTGGAAGTCAAACTACACGTGGACTATCGGCAAAGGCTTCAAGAACATCAGTTTCATTGTCATCAAATTCGAGCCGTTTCATCTAAGATGCACGTAAGTCATGTAAAGCTTACTCTTTTTATAGCTATCAGGCCACAGACTTACCAGACTATTGACTTTTGCCACCTATTGTCGGCCGAAAGCCGTTAAAATCTATTAGACGATTTTCAACATCGATAGAGTACAAACACTAAATGTGTGCAACACTTTCCACTATTTACTACAAAATAGTGTTAATTAAACAATAGAAAACAATAGAATTAGCATAATTTAGCAGTATTTAGCGGTATTTATGTTACACAGTTTTAGTGTTTGTACTCTATTTGGGGTTTATTTTCTAGTTTTTTTTTAGCTCAGAAATATACTCTAATGCTTTCAGAGTGCAAATTAATTATTGTCCTTATTGCTATCCGATGCTTTTAGTCCRTAAATGATCTTGATCCCCAGTGCAGTAATCCACATGTGAAAACTGGTATGAAAACTGTAATGGATGCAGTGCCTAAATAGCATTCGACAAAAAATAGACACTAACTACATGAGAGTTTGTAGCAAACACTTTGCAGTCAAAATATGACTATCAAAGTGTAACGTAATTGCTTACACAGCAATTTTCTAAATCTAATGTGAACACGAGAAAACGTGTTAACTAGCCAATGCCTCGCTTTGGTTCTTCACCAACATCTTTGAAAAAGGCTTTTGCACTCACAAAGCGTTAAAAAACTTAAATATAAATACGAAAAAAAGCTCAAATACCGAGGTCAAAAATGACCTAACTTTGAAGAGATTTCAACGGCTTTCGGCCGATAATCGCCATAGGAGGCCTGGTGCCGACTTCTCTTCTCAATATCGAAATGAAAGAAAGTTATAGTGCTTAAAAGGGGGGTAATTCCGGGAGAAAGACCCATAGGAATAAATTCGGAAAAAAATAATTTCCGACCTCGCTGATTCGAACACACGAGCCTCGGATTTGTATACTACCGATGGTCTACCAGCTGAGCTACAAGGCCAGACTGGGAGCAATTCGGGGTGAAATAGATCTTACATTGTAGTAATTAGAATGTAAAGATATGAATGTGAGGACCGCATTACACTATGAGCCGAAACATGATATAGAAATGAAGGAAAGTTATAGTACTTACAAGGAGGTTATTCCGGGAGAAAGACGCTTGGAAATAAATTTGGAAAAATCTATTTCCGACCTTACTGGGATTCTCTGGGTCCTCTTATTCATACTTCCTCTCAATAGTCTTATTATAGGCCCTTTGCAGCTGGGGGTCACCTGAGCACACCTACCTTAAATCAATCAGCAATGAAAAAATGATGTTCAGAAATGTAAAGAGGGGATAAAAATAAGTGAAAAGACATAGTTTCAAGT